AACACATTGCAGTACGGGCACAGACGCTTGGTACATGTTGTACTGTTGTGAAACTAACAAAGTGCTCCTTCACCTGACAGATGTTATACATTTCTGAATTGTGACCAACCATGTTGAAACATGATACGAAATAGACATCTATTTTCTTCTGCTTCTCCATAGATCTCTCCGGGGGCCGGCATCTCCCTCACCGGTCGCCAATGGAGTGCAATTAGCAGTTAGCCAAAGCAATCACTGTTTTTGAAGGGCCTGTCAGTAGCCGTGTGGGGCACTGAGGTCCTAAAAGACCGCTCCGTTGAGGGGAAAGTTTGTCCCCGCTGCAAGGATCAACGAGAAGCAAAAGCCCCTCTTAGTCCGGACAAACTGAAGGCAATGAAAGGTATACCGTACTACATGCACATTGTTATGCTTTTGAACTTGTTTGTTAGAAGGGGCTACGTCATTGATGTCATAGGTCAGATAGTAATGTGTGCAAGCAACATTATGAAATAAGAGGAATCCTGCACTCTAAAAACGGATTGGTTGAAAAACTGCCAATGTAATTGGTTGACCCCATATTGGTTGTTTTTAACCAATATATTGGTTAACTAGTTGTCCACCAACCAATCACATTGGTTGAGCAATAAACCAATCCTTTAACCAATACATTGGTCAAAAGTAACCAACATGCTGGTTGCTCAGTAACCAATTACATTGGTTGAGCAATGCACCAATCCTTTAACCAATATATTGGTTAATGGTGACCAATGTGTTGGTTGCTCAGTAAACAATCACATTGGTTGAGCAATCAACCAATCCTTTAACCAATACATTGGTCAATAGCGACCAATATGTTGGTTGCTCGGCAACCAATCACATTGGTTAAGCAATAAACCAATTCTTTAACCAATACAATGGTCAATAGCGACCAATATGTTGGTTGCTCGGCAACCAATCACATTGGTTGAGCAATAAACCAATCCATTAACCAATATGTTGCTGCTCGGCAACCAATCACATTGGTTGAGTAACGAATCAATGCTTATTGATTGATATTGGTCACAGTTTGTAACAAATATGTTGGTTTTCAAGCAGCCAATCACATTGGGCCAGCATTGAACCAATCTTCAATGGTTGAAATTGGAATAATGTCCAACAGGAAGCCAACAATCTCATTGGTTCAGCAACGAAGCAATCCTGAATATTTCATTTCGGACATGAACAATCCTTATCGAGATTAACCAATGTATTGCGGTAACCAATCACATTGGTTCAACCTATGGTTCAACATATCAACCAATTCATATTGGTCCGGTTGCCTACGGAAGGACCAAATCCACTTTTTTGGGGGTGCAAGATGACCAGTGTTCCAGATTCTCACAGGAATTCCAAAGGGAAGTAGAACATAATTGTGTAAAAAATGTTTGTCAATAATAAGAGATTTAATGGCAAACTAGGAATTGAAATTCCAATTCTGTTTGTCAAAGATGTCAAACACTTAATTTACTGCATTTACACTGAAATGACCATTCATAAAAGTGGAATGTCCCTGAGCCACGCATGCAATTTCAAAATATTGCTACTAGTACCAAACTGCTACCTGTGTTCCTTGCCCCATATGCCTCGACAATCCGCTGCTTGCTGGGATCTGTTTTAGGTAAGAATTTTTCTTTTATCTTGGCATAATTTGCAGGTTGATTTACTTTGATGAAAGCTTAGACTTTTTTGTTTACTGGCTTAAAAGACTGTTTTTGGGGGGCTTGAAGGAAGTTAGTAATTTTTGCAGTTTTGCTGAAAGCATTGTTCAACTTTTTCATTGTGTGAACATTACTGTGGTCACTGAAAATTGACCATGTTCTGGTTCTGGAGTGTGGATATATTTCTTGATTTTTCTTTGGAATTGTATGTTATGTTACTTCAATAGCTCTAGTTTCAGAGAGTGTATAATGCATTGATTATTTTCCTAGTGGTTTTTGTATACAAGTTATTTGTTTTTAGTTGGGACCCATGTAAAGTGTTTACTGCTACATATCTTCACTGCATATTTTTTCTTAGCGTTTTGTTTATTTAATTATGTATGTGTATCTCAGATTGTATGATGAGGACTTCCAGCTCCTCTTCAAGGAACAGGCTGGCAATTTCACAGCAAGGTGGGAGATGGTACGTGGCACCAAAGCTTTTGAAACAAATACAGCTAGACTGCTGCGATGACACAGCTGTGCGCCTTGTAGCAGCTCTAGCTGAATAATCTTGTACGTGGCCAAGACGATGATGAAGAGGAAGCTGACTACTGTAGCGTTTTCTTCCATATAATTATAGCTTAATTTGTTACCTTTTAACCCCTCGTACATAGCCCCCAGCAACAGTCCAGTGTTGGGTAAAAGTTATGACCCTATGGTATCAATCGCCCTAATTGATTGATTACTATTACTGAGCCAAGCCCCACTTTTATTACTTTGTCCCTCTTACCACATTTTATCACCTAGCCACAAAGTGCATTAGTACATGTACATTCCTTTGGTCTCTAGTTTTTATTGCATTTAAATTGGATAGTCGGCCCCACCTTACTTATTAGATTCTTCACTCACTCTCCTTTATTACTTTCTTTGCTCACTCTTCTTTCAACCATCAAACGAGACACATGTCTCCGAATTCTCTCTTGTAATTACGGTAGTCTAGTTGTTCGATTGTTAGAATAAAATCGCTGTACGACCAACATCGTGTGTATTCCATTATTCCATCAACCAAACCCCAAACTACTACCCATCCCCGGGTGAGTTTTGCCCTCTTTATTCAGCTGACGATTTTTTGGCATAATAATTTTGTAAACATTGTAGGAAATGTTGCCGTCCACCGTGCACCTACTGTATGTGAATGCCATGGATAGCCATGGGATAGCCTGGTCATAGTGGCCATTACACTGATCGTGTAGGTTGCACATTTGTAAGACTGGAACTTCTCTTGTCAGATGGGCCCTCGAGAGGGACTACAGCAGTATACTTGCTGGACATCTCTTGAAGGAAGTTTGTCATTTTTTGTGGTATGACTGCCATCTAGTGCTGTTATTAAAGCATTGATCTATGCACTCTGCTTTATTATTCCATGACTGCTTCTTTGCAGAGGACATAGCTGCAACACTGCTTGTCATGCTGCCGATGCTATACACAAGAACAGTGTCTACTGCGAAGGTGAAAAGTGGAAGCCAAGCATAGCTGCAAGGTATGTTACCATTGAAGATAACTTTGTTTTATGAGGTTTTGGAAAGAATGCATGTGACATGTTAAATGCCGCCATGAAGCATGGACAGGGTAACCAATAATACACATCAATCTGCATGGAATTGAAAACTTGCGGTACTTTATCTGAAAGGAAAAGTCTCAGGACCTAATTTTAGCATAGTTAATGCTTTGCAAGTTGCTATTTATTTGTTGCTTCTACAATGTACATGATATTTTTCATATGTGAAGCTTGCTGACTGAAAACATGCACATATTTCAACAGTTGCGAGTTTCAAATTTGATGATATTGTTACGAACCCAGAATGCTTGATTATGGAAATCTAGCGCCCTCTGGATTCACTCTGTCCATGAAGTACACAATCTTCTTGTTGTCTTTTATAGTTCCTATATTTTACCCATTTATCGTAAATTGCCAACTTGCACTTTTATTCCCAGGGTCTCTTACCAAGCACAGCGCATGATGCAATACCACGCGCGCTACTGTATGCATTATTCATGTAGCGATGTACATGTGCGCGACTGACCACACCTCCCTTTGCCCCAGCGAGCTAAGTTCCTTTCCCCATAGCATGCGTGCTTTGGCGTACTCCGAGAGACTGCTCAGCGGCACGGAGCATTTCTCTCCCCCGTGTGTTACCCATGAACACTAACTGGAGTTCTCGGTCCAGTTTTCCAGTACCGTACTTAGCTCCAGGGAATGGAATGTTACCCTTGCGTGGTCGCGTAGCTGGGCGTGGTAAGACATCCTGCGGTGTCAATAACCTGTGACACAGTAACCTTTTAGCTTGTCACTCACTCCATCAAGGTTGCTCGTGATGTTGTGTAAACACTTTTGCACTCTGATCTAACTATTTGCACACATCTCTCTCTGTATTTGCACACTTCTCTCTCCATGTTTTCCCTTATGTAAATGCACACGTTTCTAGTCTCTTGCACTAGGCACTCTTAGTAAATCATGTGACTAGTCATGTGACCCTTAGACATGGAAGATTACTATTGGTTAATTCCTAAATCAGTGCTCATGCATTATTTAATCCCGAGACTTCTACTGCCTATAAATACCGGAGGTTTTCCTCACTTTCGGCAGTGCGGCGAACCACGAAACCAATGTAGCGCCAACGAACCCTAAACCCAAAGTTGTGCGGCGAACTTATATGTTGTGCGGAAAATCGTATGATGTGCGACGAACTCGACTCTGACAGACCGATTGTTGTGCGACTCTAGTCACTACGAAGCATCGGCCTCCCTTGGTGGTTGAGGCGCGATGAAGTAATAGTGTAATCACTAGTACTAGTGTTATTATGAAGCATCCTTCTCCTAGATCCCTCGAGGAGTGTGTAGAAGCTGGTGAAATAGTAATACACTAGAAACCCTATAGGTTGATGAAATCTAACAAAGTTATGTAAAGTGATGAGATGAATAAATCAGTGTATTGATATGTGTGACTGTCACCCCAAAGCTCTGTTTCCCTCCAACTTATTGAATTATTGTTGACTCTAATAAATGTTTCATGAACTACTATTAGGGAACGCAACAATATAATGAACCTTGCTTTTCAGTGTGGAACAGACCTTGCCAGCTATATCCAGAGGAGGGACGAGGAATTGCAACAAGAGGGGAGCAACTCTCAAGACATACCGTGGACCATTTCTTCAGTTCTTTAATGAGGTGACAGTGGCAAAGCTGATTCAAGATGACCATTTATGGTATTAATGTTTTAAAATAACATTTGTAAGGTTTTCTGAAAATTTGGGAAATTAATTTTTCACAATAAACTGATACAAAATAATGTATTTTGTAAAAAGTGACGCAATAACATTTGGAAAGAAACTTGACTTTTTTTCAACAGCTTGTTCTCATCTAGTAAATTATTATCTGAAGTTGCTTCCTTTCAAGATGAATCAAAACAATTTATACCAAGTTTTGAAAAATCTACTTTCAAGATTAGGCAATACATGTAGTTAATACGATATATAATGAATTACAAGACAATTCAGCAAGTCTATCTGTAAAATTGTCAATTTGAAGAAATCAAATGCTGAACTTAAAGTACAAATCTTGAATATCATCCAACTTCCATAGGGAAAAAACTACAAGATGGGTTCAAACTAAAAGTGAAAATTGACAGAATCCGAGGGGGAGGGTGACGAAATTACGGAAACTAAAATATAACATCCACTTATTAAGCACTGATGTCTCTTATCATGCATGGCCAGGTTTTTACGACGGTAGAAGTCTTGTGTATTACATAAGCGGTCGTCACCCAAAAAACAATATTGGCGGCAAAAAAGTGGGATTTGTTCCAAGGAGTGTCGCGCGCTAAATGTGCACGCGCGCCGTGAAACCTTATTGGTCGAAGAAAAGTTCCAGAGTGCAAGAGCGCCCATGTTCACGCGCGCCGCATAACCTAATTGGTCGAAGAAAACCGGAGTGCTCGTGATTATATCTAGACTAGACGCGACGCGACGGGAGACTACATAACGTCCGTCACGCATGCACGGAGCAGTTAATTTTGCTTTTGTTCGACTTTCAGTTTCATTTAAGTTTCAATTTTGACGCGACTCGAGTGAAACAACAAATAAGGTATGTACCTCAAAATGTATATAATCTATGTCTATCATATTAACAGTTAAGTTGCAATGCGAAAACATATGAATATAGTTTTAAACATTAGGCCTACAACTAACAAGATTACACTGCATGTAGGACTAGCATTTCCATTGCTAGTATAATAAGCCTAGGCCTAATACTAGGCCCTACTAGACAACTTGCAAAATTTGTAGAACCCTCTCGAGCCGGGATCCATCCCGGCACACTCAGGCTATGTTTGATGTTTATCGACTAGCTGTCTCGATAAAAAAAAAGCAGAGGAGGTGATTTGGAAATGTTTTTTAAAACTCAGAGAATCTGTCAGATATTTTCGAACCAAAATAGGCTAGGCCTATCCGATGAACAACATAAACATGATACAAATCCAAAGCTGTGTCATCAGCCAAATTTGTCTATGGACAATGCAAAGGTACGTGTACATGTGAAAATGCCCCCGGAACATTTTTTGGACGTGTGGTGAAAAGAAAATGCCAAGCGCAATAAATAGTTTAACTGCTGAGCCATTAAAACTATGGTACCACAAATTGAACCATTTTATTTACGGATCAATCAAGCCATGCTTGACTGCTCTATGGTCGGCATTTCTTTACTTAAATGTTGTAATGGAAACATTTGATTGAACTCAGCTCATCCCTATCTTTTTGTGCATATCTAATCCGCTTGCTTTTGTTCTCGTTTCAAAATTCTGGCAGGCTCTTTGGAAGAATCGTCTTCAATATAAGTTTGCGAACTCGAGGAAACGAGAAGACAAAGATGTGGAGCAGGTGTTACTAAGGAAGAGGAAGCGCCCAGCTGCTACTAATGATACCGCCCAAACCAGCCAGAAACAAGGACCATCGGTGTGGGGAATGGAGAACTATCTGCCTCAGCGCCCCTTATCAGAGGACGATGCCTCAATACGCATTCATACAGAGTGGCTGAAGACGGAAACAACTAAGAAGAAGCCAAACTATGAGCAAATCAATGTGGCAATGGATGCTACATTTGCAGACCGGCGGGCTCTGGTGACGAAAGGTACAGCTTCCCTGGCTGAGGTGAAGGTGGCCTATCCGTGGCTGTTCGAGGAAAAAGAGGTTCGTTTCAGTATACATAATATAAGGTGCAGTATCCAATATTTGCAGGAAGTAGTGCTTGAAATATGGTACTGCTATGGATTTTAAATAGTTTTTTTTATTCGTGTGTGGATATTCAAAATTGGATGTGATTGAATGTTTGCTTAATTTTATCCACCTATTATGGTTGGATGACAATAGATCTTGAATTACAGCTCTAAGTGTGATACATTTATGGCAATAGCCTATTACAGTGGAACACAATGGACCAATGTATGTAATATGCTTTTGACAAAATGCAATCTGACAAAATGAATAAAAAGGCATCTTCTAAAAACTGCAAAGCAAATCATTTTGCTTCATCCTCACAAGGCCAGGCAAGCTTTTTAATAGACTGTCTGATTTATGATGATTGAATATTTCTGTATTGGACAAATTTGGCACAGCCCTACATTATAGCAGTCAATGACAGATCCACTCATCTAGGAGTGTAAAGAAATTGGCACTGGTGCTTATGTTCAGTAGAAACATATATTCCATACCACGAGTACTTTTGGCAATACAGTCTTTAATGTTTTTTGTGTACATTTTTGTCTGTGTGTGTAACAGATACTATCAGAGTTCAAGCGAGTCCACGGGAGCAAAGAAGGCATCGCAGAGCTGATTGAAGATGGCCTCCGAAAGTATAGCAAGGCTGTACTTCAGCTGTGCAAGACTCATCGTAATTTGGAAGACATCTGTAAGCAAGCCCAGGATATGATTCCACTTCAACGAGATGAGGATTCTCGTGAAGGTAGGAAGCAAGGAGTTTCAGGACATTTTAAGTACCATAGGTTTTAATAATTCTTCACACAAAATGTGCGTTTTAACTTTGATGTCTATACATTTTTACAAATAATGTAAACCATTTTAGATACTAACTCATCAGCTAGAAAAAAAAACTTTCAATACTGCAGTTTTGATATGTAGAGAAAATGAATTTAAATTGTCCAAATTTGTCAGACTTTAACCATATGTGCTATCAGTGCACGCAGGGCTACCTGCATTACCTTATTATACTTACCTCAACAATAGTGCTTATCAAATATCTTACTACATGCTGCAATAGCAATCATGGTACTGCTTGGATTCAAGTCTATACGTAGTTTGTTTTATGTTGGAAAAAAAAACACTTTGCTGTCATCTGTTTATCTAAACAAATACTGAAGTGAACATACTATGAACATACTGTTCTTCAACTCTTAAAGAGCAAATTGATTGTCTGTCCTTAGGTGCTACCCATGTCGCAGCAGTGCTTACAGTGCCAAGTCTGCTCAAGGAGAAGGTTGGATGCCTCGTCCTCCTTGGACAAGAGCCTGTAAGTAATTACACACAAAAGGTTTTTCTATATAAAATAAAGTGTTGATGTGCTGGCTTTCCAATCAATGTAATGGACAATATGATGGCCAAATCAAAATGAACAAAAAACATGTACACATGCATCTATTTACATGTGCACATAGCATAGTGTTGAGTTTTCACAAACTACATGCTGGTTTCACGTCATCGTAATATCCGTCTTTCAATGTGCCTCCCCACTTATTTGCACAAACGGGTCAAACTAAATTCGTTTAACGCAAACAAAACCTGTATAAGTCTGATCCAGTGGGGCAAAGGCTTGTCAGTGGCTTTCTTTCATGAACCTCTAACATTAGTGTCAAGAACATATACTTGCCATTTAGTTAATCCAGCCATGACAATATATTGAAAACAATTCCCAATTGTCTTTTTATCTGTAGGAAGATGGTCATCCGCACATAACAGGGGACGAGAGTAGTCTGGAGCAGTGCCAACACTTCTCCATTGTCGTGGATGGCATTGAGGTGGCGCACACGGATACATTTATGTCTGCGTTTTCCTGTTATGTTGCTTGTTTCTATGTTTTTAACCTGGCCTATCCTGGAGTGTTGAGAAAAACGTTGAATTTCTTCCAAAGGGTCATCCTCAACATCCAGGATAGTGCCAAGGTTGATCGTCCAGTTATAACCCTTCTTGACAAGCTGAATCAGCTTCTCAAGAAACACTGAACTGGTTTGCATTCAGCTTTTCAAGAAGGATTCTAACTGGACGAATGTGTGACCCGATCCACAAAAAAGGGTATTATGTCACAAAAAGTTGAAATTGAGTTACAGTAAAATCTTGATAACTCAAAAGTCGGTGAAGTCCGAATTCCGTTTATCTCGAAGACCTACTTAATTCCCACCAAAAGAATAGGCTCTTATGTCCAAAATTCCTCCGTAACTCTCGACGTTTATGCACCTGTACCTCCGGTTAGCTTTTAGTCGGCCAGTCCATAGAAAATGCAGCCAGAACAGTCATAAAGAAGCATAAAAAACATTGCACAAACGTTTGACTCAAACTTTTGTTCGGCCAGTCCATAAAAAAAACGCAGCCTAACAGTCACAAAGACGTGTAAATAACTTGTCTTTGTTAAAGTTAAACATTACTTGAATTTTAAAAAGTAAAGATTACATTGTGCTAAATGTCATCTCACATTCTCTAATATATTTTGCCACATTTTGCCATTGTATACATGCATTATTTTGCCAGATACATGTATGTGCCTTCTCACATTTTCTTGCACTTATCTTGCCTAATACTGTTTTGTTCGGCCAGTCCATAAAAAACTGCAGCCTAAAAGTCACAAAGACATGTAAATAACATAGCGAAGCCTTTTTCGTGAGTCATTATGCCCAAATCCCTGGTCTTTTCACGTGGAAATGCAGAGTACACGATGCCATTGTGATCATTCCGTTGCCGTGGAATTGCCCACATGTAAAAATCTTTTTGGCTATTGAGCTTGCTCAAACATACAACTTTACGTTGCTGTCTGAAAAACGGGGGAAAAACTAGAACATGGAAGTGGATGGTGGTGGATTTTCGAATGTTATAGGGACAAAGCAACTGTTAGAGAAGCCTAAACTCTTGTGATTTTTGTATAGGTTTTAATCAATGACTTTAGTAATGCCTGAACATGTAAGACACTGACAGATTTTTGGAAGGTTAGGGACGAAGCAACTCCAAGAGAAGCATATCTTTATTTTGTAAAGTTTTAAAATGGTTTCATTAAAAACCAATGTGTGATGATGGCCAAAACATAAAATCAAAAACATTAAATAAGCTCTGGAACCAAAAGATTTACATTGTGCAAAATGTTATCTTAAATTGTCATCAGACACAAGTTTCTGTAGCTGTTTGGAAAATTGAGAAAACTAAAACATGGAAGTTGATGATTGAGTTTGGAAGGTTAGGGATAAAGCAACTGTAAGAGAAGCCTATATCTTTTTTATTTTGTTAAGGGTTTAAATACTTATTTCATTAAAACAATGAATCAAATGTTTTATGAAGGCTTAGAATAGCATTGTGAAAAAAAGGTTGAACAAGTTAAACATTACTTGAATTTTAAAAAGCAAAGATTACATTGTGCTAAATATCATCTCGCATTCTCTAATATATTTTGCCACATTTTGCCATTGTTTACATGTATTATTTTGCCAGATACATGTATTTGCCTTCCCACATTTTCTTGCACTCTTGCCTAATACTGTCGGTGTGCTGTTTTATGGTGCTAATACATGTACTAAACTTATAAGTAAATAAATTCTTTTTCCTTTTTTTGGCTGGCATTTTAAGGAAAACTGTAAACAGCCAATGAAACAAATCACAGATAAAATTGTGAAGCACAAAGCATTTTATTTGGCATTTTTGTATCAAAAATGTGAACCCGAAGAACATGTACATGTGTATATTGACACGAGTTAAAACTACAGTGGAACACTGATATAACGAGGTCATTGAGACTTTACAAAATTCCTTGTTATAGCAGATACCTTGTATTAACAGTATTAAAAACAAAGAAAAACAAAGACTTGAGACAGAAACTTTTCCTTTATATAAGCAGGATGTTGTATTCTTGCTCTTATCAGTGTTCGACTGTACCTTGTCTTCATTGTTCAAATTATCTCTCATTTTACACAATCGGTGGTGACCATTTTATTGTAATGTTTTTAGACTTTTGCCGTTTGTAAACATGTTCGTCAGTTTCTTTAAATTCAAAATAAACCACTTTTGGGGGGAAAAAAAAATGTGTTTGTAGTTTCAGTTCTTAGTCATCTGAATAATCAGATTGGTCAGTGATTTCACTGACTAACTAAAAAGGTCAGATGACTAACAGGTTAGTCGTATGAGGCACCATTGAAATTAGTCACAAGACTAATGTAAACTAGTCGATTTTGACTAATTAAAGTTTGTCACCCAATGTATTTGACTAATTTAAATTGGTCATATGAGGCACCGTGCTGGACTAACTTAAATTAGTCAAATTGACTAACTTTTGTTGACAGTGCAACACCTTTAAAAAAGGAGATCATGGAGAAAAGTAACCAGACAGTGATGGTGTAAGACGTTCTTAATCCAGGTAAGATTGTTATTACCACTGCAGTTGGCCATGTCTCCACTTGATGATCCCAAATTGCCAACTCTGATCCTGCAAATACCCAATTGCTGCATCAGATCTGGCAATCCCATGAAGTGGGGATGCTAATCTGATCCAGCAATTTTGATCCTCCACGAGCCTAGGATTAAAAGGAAACCACATCCAGCAATGCATGATGTGATTTGGCAAATTTGACAGGCATTGAACCCTCTCCAACAATGCATTTGTCAACCATGACTACAAAATCTCATAAAGGAAAGCAGACAGAACGGAACAGCCAACAACTTCTTTTTGTCAACATGGATTTAGAATCTGTAGAGACATTTTCAAATTCAATCTAATCCACAGCATAGGAAAGGACAAGTGCTTTGATTGCTCATTACAAAGTGGCAGTGAGGAAGCATGTGGCAACATAAACAAAAGGAGACAATCGCATGATGCTTTGAGATATGAAGACACAAAGGCAGTTGTTGACAATAGTTCTACCTGGCCGCACTCCAAGACACCGAAAAACTGATGTGAAGCCCTTTAACAATTGCAGCAAAAAGAGGGTGTACACACAGTATTGTATTGTGGTAAACTTTGCTGGCATCAGGAAGGTTTCACTTAGAACATTCCGTGGACTTAAAGTATTGAGGAACAAGGAATAAAGATTTAAACAACAGGCTAAACCTCATTCATCAATAATTGGGGGTGCCCTTTTTGAAGAGTAGGCCTACAATGTTATAGGACCTACAAAAAGTTTGAGGGCCCCAGCGGAAAAATGTGTGTAGTCTACAAATGGCTTTACATGTAACTACCAAATTTACACTGGGAAATTGCAAAATGCATCTGACAATGGTCTTACTTACAGCATTGTCATGCAACTAATGGACATGTACTTACAGCATGGGTACAGGGTGAACACAGGCAATTTTTAAACAAGTCTTATTTTGTTCCTTAAAATCTGTTGAAAGAGAAAAAGGAGCATGTGGAACTGTTCGAGAACAGGAGAGGATTTCCCAAAACTAAAATAAACGCTATGCTACCAAAGCAGCCGTGTGGTTGCAATTTCTAAAGCTTATGTAACACTTTATTTTGAATGAAACTACATGCACACTGACATGTTCATGCAGGCTGGTGAAATCTTTGACAAGAAATGTTTCCCGTTTAGAAGACCAGATCTTTCTGTAACTTTCAGTGTTTATTTCACTTATAATGATCCAAACATACATGTGCTAAATATCGTTGTGATACGTTCATTACTTTTCGTTGAAATTGGAAAAAAATAGGCCTGGATATGTGCATTTTTGAAAGTTGTAACACACTTCCCGACTTTTAAGGTCAGCTATACCAGTAACCAGTATTGATTTTCTGGTATTGATGATGGCGATTTTCTCTGTCATGAATTTAAGAATTTCTTCTTCTGTTATAATTTAACATTTCAATTATACTGAGCATATTTTTTGAGAAACACAATGTTCAAATAATTTGAATGATAATTTGAATGATGCTGTGGAGCACGCAAACGTATGATGGTACAGAGGTTTTTTTAACAAGAGGGACAATGTCCTTGTAAACTGTTCAAAGGGCAACCATGCTGCAAGCAGTTTACTGAAGATGAGTACTTGAACAACCACCCAAGCATGTGGGGGATTTTCAGAAGGTAGGCCTACAGTATGTAATAATTTCAATAGCTATTATAATATTACTATTGTATTGAAGGCGTATTAAGCTTAAAATTTTGATTCCATCATTGAACACTACTTCCAATCCTTGGACAAATACACTTGAATGCAAAAATGCACAAAACATGCTGTAAACTAGACTTATGTTTGTGGACAAACACAGGGCTGTTTTGGCAACTTTTTGTGACATATATGTGATATGTAAAGTTCAAGTATAGTTTCCATCCACGAAGGATGTGTGGACTTTTCTGTTTATAAACGGTGGAATTTAAATGTGTGATTACATTCTCAGAGAGCTTTGAATTATGACGTCACACATGTGACGTAATGACGTCATGATGATGTCACATCAACTATAATCTTAAACATCCATAACAACCTTCTGCTAGAGGGTACACTAACATTTTGTGATGTCACCAAAGGATAGGCCTACCGGTACATGATGAACATGTAACTGTGAAAAAAAGTGAGCATAGTAGCATACATGGACATTGCTATATTGTTTTTACACACGTAATAAAAAGATATTCGTTTGCAAAATTAATTGCAAATTTTGTTGTTTTAGTATTGTAACGTCCGAGACGACCAGCCAACTGAGGGCGCTATGTAACGTCGACGTGCCGACCAACACCCCTGAAGTGTCATTGATTGGTTTGTGAACACCCCCGATCGACACGCTACAGTATAAACCTAATTGTATAATTTTGTTTGTGATGTTTTTTGAAGTAATCTGTGAAGTAAAGGATTGCAATGATAAAAAGTTCAATAAAAGATATAAAAACAGAAACACTGTAAAAATAATAGGTTTAGAATGGCTGGATAAGCAAGCTAACTTAATGGCACTGAGTGTTTTTACATATTGTGAGTTATTTTGTGATGAAAATAGATCAACATTATTTCAATTTTGTGTTTATTTAGGATGAATTACCAAGACAGGTGAAAGGGAGTTAAAGTGTCTGTACCGGTATTATCAAAGTCAAATATACTAAAGGAGAGATCCAAGTAGCTCCATGGAATGAAAAGGGTACAAGCCCAGTGAAGAGTGGGGATAAGGTGCGAATCAGCAACCTGTCTACGAAGCACAGTGACTTTCTGAGAGAGATGACTTCTTGAGCCAGTAAAATATGAATAAATTCTGGTACACCCTGCTAGGCCCCCCCCCCAAGAAATATATAGGCTTCAGAATTGCACCTGGAACAATTCATCTACGAAGGTTAAATAAAATGGCAACTCTAATATACTTGAAACAAAAAAGAATATAAAATCTACTATTAATGAATCCTATAAGGTTACTGGATAAAGTGTAAGAACTATATGCACGTGTATCTTAATTGTGTTAATTGATCCACATACTTTAATTTCTCGGTTGCACGCTTGCTTTACTCTGAGTATGCCATGGAGTACCAAAGTGTGATGTCATTTACTACCAGAAAGTGTAGTGCAAACGAACGGAGTACACGTGCATGCTTGTTTGCGGTCTGAATCATGCGCTAAATGTCTTTCACACACATTTTGTGCGCATGACGTATTCGCTTCAGTACTCCGTACATGCAGGTGGTTCATACATGTAAGCTCTATACAACGTAGAAGCTGCGTCCACCTGCATTGTATACTTAAACTAATATCTGAACTCATGTTGGAGTCAGTCAAACTTAAAAATTGTCCGGGGACTGCCTATGATTAATTAATTTGTATAGTTAACTATGTAACAGACATGATTATAATTTCTACAATAGTTTGGAGTTGGTTTCTTCTGATTAAGAGTTTTATGATCTTACATTGAAAGTAACTGCAACTATACACAGGGGAAATGAAACCCCGTATTTTTTTCAGTACAGGTGTGTGGTGTACACTGTCTCCGTCAGCAAGAAAGTACCTCCCAACTGACACCCTGATGTGGGGCCATTCCAGGGAGCCAGTGCACACTTTCTTCACATGCCATAACAATCCATAACTTTCTCCACATGCCAACCAAGAACTAACTACACCATCTCACCTTAACACTACCTCCCACCCATTTTTGAAAGAAGATGTACTAATATAACCACTGGTCAGATGCACTGTCTACGTCTGCTGACCATTAAAGAAACCATATTTTCCTTTGTCTCTTTTTTTTTACTAAACCAAAAGGTCATTGTGTTTGTGGTTACCGCAACACCAGAATAACTCTCAGAGTTTACTGTGGCCTCCAGTTGGTACTCAATGGATAGAAGTGAATGTCAATGAGATGGATACACATAGTGATGGGATGCTTCTATGTCAACTTATACAAGTCTCTATTTGTTGAAGGGCAGACGGAAAACATCACAATCAGTACATGTAGATGGATCATGGATCATAGGTTTCCTGTTGATGGTTGATTACAGTTCATCTGGTTTTAGAGACATGCAGTGCAAAGACTTTGTCACTTGATTGCTGAGGTACAGATGTACAGATGACATTGTTTTAACTTGAATAGAGTCCCTTATCCTGGCAAACCGCCATGGCTCTGGATTTGCTATTGAGCAGTCATTTTGTAGAACTGTCACAGGTCTTCACTCACTACTTGGTGGACACCGACAGATGACATCATGATAAACAGCAATTCCTTTTGCTGCTGGATGGAAAGACCTCATCATGATGAACTACATACATACATGTACACAGCTCTCGGTAAATATATCGCAGGTTTAGCATGGTGAAGCGATGTTGCTATGACACACTGTCACATGTCTTCACTTGCTGTTGGATGGAAAGATGCCATTGTAATAAACATGGTTCACTGCTGCTGGTCGGAAAAAACTCATCATGATGAACTTGTTGGAGATGTCACTCTGAAAAACTATCACAGGTCTCCAGTGTTACCAGGTGGATGGATGCTCCTGTAAAGAACTTGGCAATCTCCATGTACCATTTTGATGATTCTGTGTGAAAAGATTTGAAGTCTTCAAACACAGCTGAGAGGAAAGAATTTTGTCCCATCTCTGAAGTATATTCAGCTGCTTTAAGGAGTGCTTTTGAACCAATTGGTCAAGAGTGGCTACTGCCTCCTGAGATTCCCGGTTTTTGCAATAAGACAACGGACGTTTTCCATGCTACCGGTAAGTCTTCTGTCACTTTGCCTCATCAAAAGCAGGATGGACTTCACAACTGCCATGAAAGCAGAGTCCGATGGAGACAAATTCACATCAATGATGCAGTGATTGGACGAATGGAAGCATTTTTTCTGCACTGTAAATGGAAGCCTGAGATGACCAAGAAGTTGATCTTCAATACCTCGATCACACCATACACAGTGCATATTTTCCATCTGAAGCACCTCTAAGACACACTTATCTGACTGAAGATGCTACTACTGCAGTAACCACAATAAATTAAATGCCTTTTTTTAATATAGAATCAGACTTAAGAAAAATATGATTCCTTTAATGGCCCTATAATTACAATGTCAGACATTACACTTATAAATGCTACTCTCCGCTAAATAAACATGTTGATCACTGTCAGTAGCTTCTGAAACCCTAGTTTCATTGTATCAGCTTGCTGTACATGTAATTCCACAACATACAGGGTGACCCAAATATGATTCAACCCCAAAACAAATGCCTTTAAAACAAAAAGGGATCTGTGGATTTTTATGTTTTGGGTATCAGATTAAAGCTGAGACTTTTTCCTTCAAAATGGCACTTTGGGTTGCTGAGAAAATTCCAGTTATCAAAGTAGTCATTCTTTTCCATCCTGTACACAAGAACATCAAACAGTGAAACATGTTACTACAACTACTGTGCAATGATCCTTCATTTGAGCAATTTTTAAAAAAAATATTTTGACATTGAATAGGTTTAAAGTACCAGTATGACTAAAAAGGATAGGATACCTGTTCATGGGGGAAATAAAATGTATTTCCATCAAATTCATTATTACTCCTGTCATATTATGTGCTGTGTTATTTGTAAGGATAAGGATACATGTAAGTACAGCAAAAATCCCTTACAATGGTTTTCTTTTGTGTTCAGGATAAAAAAAAGGACAATTTTACATAATTATGATTTTTTTTTGCAGCCCATTTTTGAAGGTCATTGAAGGTCACCGAAAATCTTGTGCGACAGCAAAATGTACAGCGTCAGTCTGCCGAGGACTCCCTTCAAGACCAAGTCCAAGCTTGCCCCGTGCCAGATAAACCTACCTGGACAAATTGTGGGCCATCGCCAGCCAAAAACAACCATGACAACCATGGCCACCCACTGTATCAAGGCAGCCATGTGACCGTTTTGCAAGCTGTGACGTTGCTTCTGTCAATCCATGGACTCTTCCCAGGGGTAAGCAAAAACCAAACCACTAATCACTATTTTCATGATTTTTATTTTAGCACCATTATTAGCCTAAACCTACCCATGGAGAAAACTTCTGCATGGTGTACATGTACATGGTGTACATGTACATGGTGTACCTGAGCCTAGTCTATACATGTATGTCTATGTACGGTAATTCACTGTGGTCTATTTTAGTATAGGCCTAGGCCTATCATCAGCATGATCAGTAATCTAATCATCATCAGATCATAGGCCTAGGGATAGGCCTACATGACATCGTCTGACATGTCTGATCGTCAGTCCACCTAAAAAGATGAAGATATGTTTTGACGCACTCGCATTCAATTTGCGTTGGACAACGCGCACGCGTTGCAAGCGTTATCTTCGTCAATTATGGGGACTCGAGGATACAAATGTACATGACATGTGAGCAGATTCGCTGATCAGTGGGTGCTAGTCATACTGATTAATTAGGCAAGACAACTGCCTCTTGACCTCTAGTGTTTGACCAATCAGGGGGCGCTTTCTTCTAGGCGTACATCGGGTCTTCGTCATGTTCATTCATTTACCCTTTGCGCATCATACACAATGGATTAAAAAATGGAAAAAATGATGCAACCTGACACCACTTCCACTATTGGGTAGGGCCTTAGGCTACAAAGTCTATGGAGAGTCAAGAAAATGTTCTAAGTATTTCCTAACAAAATTGGAAATGTTTCTCAGTCCCAGATTCATGTCTTAATCTTATCATTTTTGCAGTGAATGACCTTCATTGAGATGATATATGAAGAAAGTGGTGTCAAGTTGCAGCATTTAAAAAAAAAAAACCCAAAACTGCATAGATTGTCTACAGTCATGACAGTGTCTAGGCATAGGCCTATCAGATGTTGTACATGTTTATGCCTACTACAGCAGACTAGCTCTGTGGATAACGGATGATGGATACTCAGACTAAGACTTAGTTAATTATACCCAGCTGCCCAGCATGCCAGTTGAAAAGAATGAGAAAAGAATGTTGCAACCAGACATGCCAGAGTCACTTCAGCAATTGTGTACAAACATGACAGTTAAGTCTATGGAGAGTGAAGAAAATTACATTTTCTAACAAACGTGTCTCGGCAGCTCAGTATCACATTCCGAAAAAAAAATGTTGCAATCTGACGTCACTTCGGCAGTTGTGTACAAAGTCTTTGGAGAGTCAAGAAAAATTTCTGAGTATTTTCTAACAAAATTGGAATGATTCTCTGTCCCACATTCATGTCTTATCATCATTTTGCAATAACTGACCTACATGTACATGAAAAAAAGTGGCGTCAGGTTGTAACAAATTTTTCCCAGCAAAAGAGTACCTGTTACTAGTAGGCTATTAGTATTAGGCCAAAAAAAGAAATCCTTCAATCAACAAACAGAATAAGCTTTGTTTAAGGTCAGCCAAAGAGCCATCAGCGAGCTTTTACGCATATTGCATCGTTTCATCCTCCCTAATGGCAACATCCTTCCTGACTCCTTCCAAGCTGCAAAGAAACTTGTGGATGAATACCTCATCCCAGTGGAGATGCATGATGTTTGTCCAAATGACCACATCATCTTCAGTGGAGTTCACAGCAGTAGTAAACACTGCCCAGAGTGTAAGGAATCAAGGTAGGCTTGTCTATAATGAAATTCTCATATCTAACTTCTCCGCAAAACCAACTGTTTGTAATAAAATACATATGTAAAGTTTATGACTACCAGCAAACTTTAACATTAAATTTACTTTAAACAGGAAATTACAACATTTACAACACTGCACATAAAAAGGAGGCATACACTTATTTCTAAAATCATAATCAGAAAAGCCTTATGTTCAGTTCATAAACAGACACAGACCTCTAGTTTGTCTCTTTCCCCTTTTGTACATATTATTTTATGATGCTTTTGCAGGATTAGTTTCGTTGGCCTTATGACTTTTTTTGTACAATGGCATACAATGGCACAGGGATCTGTTGAAGATCTACAAATATTTTGATTGAAAATTGTGTCATATTTATTTTGGATAGCATGGAGCCCAAACTTTGTTAATTTTTTTCCAATTCCATTTACTGCCAATGTCTATCAGCCATGCAAAAACATGACATCCCATTGGGACAAAAATGTCAACATTCTTCATTTGGCAAAATGTGTGAACAAATAGAGTTTACATATTTGTTATATTAATACCAAGACAATGTGTATAAAGTTGCACAATGAAATGTCACTGAATAAGTATTAATTAGCCTGGAATATTGTAGTTGAAATTTCAAAGTAGCTATATAAACTTGTACATGTAGCTACGTAGCTCTAATTTTCCTTTAAAATTGCGTCACGGGACACGGCCGGCATTTTATTTTACGTTTTAACAAATTTTGGGCGGAGATCCGATCATCCAACGACTCTTTGTTGAATATCAGACAACTTTTTAGTGTACGTTGATTAAATACATAGAACAGTCACAGGGTTGTGCTATAAATACACCTACAACGCGTCCCACTTACAACATGATTTGTGAAATGAGTCGCAGAACGCGTCGTAGCTGCGATATATCGTAGGGATACGACGTGTCGCAGTGCTGCGGTTCATAATTGTAAGTTACGAAGAGTTTGATGAAATCAGGTGCTGATCTCTCCTTGTCCTGAAATTATGGTCTGTCTTTGAGATACACATCTTTGGTTAGGTTAGGGGTATGTAGATAGGTGGCTATGCCCATAATAACACAACGCACCAGTTTGGGGGTCCAGGGGATTTGTCTTTCAGAATAGGAAGGCTTTGGGATTTGTAAATGAAAGCCTGTTTCCTTGTATTGAATTTATGTTTCTCTATTGATCATACAATTAAGTTTGTCATATTTGTGGAAATGGAGGAATTATGATCAAGTTTTTTTAACTAGATACTGTAATTTTATTTTGGAAGAAAGGGTCCAAAGGGATTGCAAGAAGTTCATAATGCTGTGTACATGCATACAATGTAGGAAGGCAACCCTGTGTTTCTGGCACTACTTTAGTCCTATTCTATTTTCAAATGTTGCTCACAAACTTCTTTTTGATTGGAACAGATATAAGGCCGGAACAGATACTCCAGCAAAGACTTTTCCATACATCCCGCTTATCCCACGCTTGCAACGGTGGTTTAAGATGCCAGCAATTGCTGACAGCTTGCAGCAGCACATGGACATTGCTGAGCAGAACCCTGTCACTGACATCCATATGTCACCAGCCTGGAAAGGCTTATCAATAAAGGTGCGAATTTTATCAATGTAGTCACTCGCGTATAGGTTTCTACCTCCATGGTGTTAATGTCTTTTCTTTTGTAAGCAGCTCTCCTGCATCAGTATTTATTTGTATTGTTATTGGTATTTATTTCTGTTGTTATAACATGTTAACCCTCTCACCTTTGAGTTGGTGAAAAAATTGAAGGTCGAAAAGGGCCAATAGTAGGAGGGTATCAATGAGAACAGCATATCCATTGTTATGCCTTAAATATTTCATCTCAATGTGAGATGTACACTATGACTTTGCAAACACAGGGTGTTTTAAGATTTGTGTAGATGATTAGCAGCATTAATCACTTTTTTCAAAAAATGCTAAAATTGCATTCCAAGAAAACAGTCCATCTTAAGCCAACAGAGTGAAGAAAGAAATCATGAAAATGATAAGTAGATACTAAGTTTGAAATTTAGTATGAAAATGCAGTTGTTCTGAAGCTAGGTTATCAGGTACTGTTAGTAATTCACACCAATGTACTTCTTTTCTGTTTGATTTTTATTTTGTATCGGCATAAGTGGAAATAAAATGTTTATTCTGCAGCGAGTATAATTAGAAACTCTGCAATTGTGTGTGTATCACAGATGGAGTTTTCAAGGGAAATGGACGTTGCCTAACCTTTGCTCTGAGCGCAGATGGATTTGACCCTTTCAACCGTCAGAAGGTTCAGAACAGCATGTGTCCTGTCTTGCTCAAATGCTTGAATTTTAATCATTCAAGTAGGGACAAGATTGGTCGACTGCTACTATCCGCCATCATTCCAGGTAATTAATTTCAAGATTGAACCTTGCCAATTACGAGAATGTAAAATATATACTTTCCCTAAAATAAAGCCAATGCTTCAGAATTTTCTTTAAAATTAAAAAAAAACCCCAAAGATTTAATACATGAATTAGCGCAAAGATCTTATCAAAGATGAAAAAAGCAATACATGTAGTTATATATGTAAACATGCAAGCATTTAATAACGACTATATATGTTTTACCAATACAAGACCTTGTGGGCCAGATGATATGAATCCCTATCTCTCCCCCCTCGTTGACGAACTAAATCAACTGGCAGCTGGTGTCGACTGCTTTGATGCCTCCACCAGCTCCAACTTCAAGCTGAAAGCACGTGTGCTCCTGGGAGTATTCGATAACCCTGGAGGTGCCAAGGTGCTGAAAAGTCCCGGACCAGGGTCACTAAACAACGCTTGTAAACATTGTCAGATCAAAAGTAAGTGGATGTCAAATTGTCAAAGCCTCAAAGGTTTTAAAGCAGAAATTTAGAAGGCATGCATTTGTTGTGCTATAGCTGGCTGCAGGGTTTATAATCAGACGAATCTGTGGTATTCATGTACATTTATTTCATAAGATAATAATACAACCAACAGATACACGAAATACATCCTTCCACTGGAGTCTACAAATCAGCTCTCTTTGCAGGTGCACAGCAGTGTTGCCTTGTTGAACTATCTACCATTGTTTTGTCAGAACAGATGCGAGGTTACATGCATGGACACATAGAATGCACAAAATGAACACTTCATTAAACAGTGAAATGTTGAGTCTTCTTGATGCACTACCCAAATAGTAATTATTTGTGCATTGCTTATGTCATTTGTAACAACTCAGGGGTGTACAGCAGAGAGTACAAGAAGGTTATCTACCAACAAATCGTAGATTCCTGCCACCAGACTCCATGCATCGTGGCAATACAACAGGATTTGGGACCGAGGAAAGTACATATGTAGATCACCCTTCATTGCAGCTTCAAAGGATACATTGATAGAGACGCGTTTGCAGGTGGCATCATTGAAAAAAAGGGCCTTGACTGAAGCCACTAATGCCCAGACGGAGGCTGCCAAGATACAGAAGGCAACAGGAAAGAAGGGGATAGAGGAGTTGTCCCGCTTGCCCTATTACAGGGATGTGGACTTCCCTGTGGAGCTTATGCGCACGATTCAAGTAAGAAACTGATTTTTTTTATTGTTTAAATATGATCATCTGGTTGCTACCCTACCTTTAACATGGCAATAGCCAACCCTACAAAAGTCACTCATTAGCAGGAATGAATTCATTTGATTTTCATCAGGATGACTTGTGTCAAGGAAAAGGAAAAAGAAATATATATGTACAAAGAAAGGCTTACAGACCTAAACCAATCCGGTTCGTTGGTGTGACGTCATCTCAACTTAAGCATGTGAACTTAACATGGTGTAGCATAGAAAGGATGAATATTTAGCCAATTACAATTTGAATCAGTGGTGCGTGCAGGTGTATGAAGAAGTTGCTAATGAACCGGATACTATTTACACCCAAATTGAAATCGCTTGATGATTTTCAAAACGTCTTCAAGGAATTACCCAAATTATGTAATGGGGTTCGAACCTCTTTAGTGACTCATTTGTGTTGTCTTCTCTTGCCCACCTTCTGTTCACGTGGTTCCCCCTCATATTGCACTCAAACTGCATCCCATGCACTCCTTAAATTGACCTTCCCGTTTATGCCACTGTTGCAACGTTTGTTCTTGTTCTTGTGTCTCTTAACATTTGCAGAAGATTGTGGTGAGATTGCTGATCATGTGCAGCTTAAATAAGGAATGTTTAAAATGCTTCTCAATGTAAATCTTACTATGGTGTATACTTTTAGTGCACAAAATATGGGCAATTGATAAATGCTTCAGGTGTTCAAAGTCTCCAGGAGAATTGTTCTAATATAATAAAGTTACTTAGAACAGAGTTTATACCTTTTTAATATTTTTTTTAATGTAGGTCGTTATGAAAAAGTTCTTTGGATTGTTCACGGGGAGGGACAATACTCCACAGCTGAGGGCGGCTGAAATGGCACTTGGTAGACTGGCCATTCCAGAGTCCAGGAAACATCCTCTGTGGGTGCTTACCCCGGAGGAAAAGTCCACAGCTGATCATCAGCTCATGGAAATCAAGGTCACCCATGACTTTGACTGGCGACCAATAAAACTCTTCACCAAAACGAGTCTCCCCTATGTGAAGTGCAGCGATTGGAAAAAGGTAGGAAATGTAACAATTTCTGCACAAAACATTACTGTTAAGGCAAACAAAAAATTGTTCTTCCAATTTCCCTACCTACCCTATTCTGACAGCCCCTACCCAACATTTTTTTTAATGGTAAAAATGAGAAATAGAACACCCAAAGCCATCATTTTCTACCTTTTACCCCTGATTACACGCAGACACCTCCATATGATTGTACAAAAAAAATAGCAAAAAAAAAGAGACATTTATATTTTGGCTGATTACTAAATTACTACTGTATGAGCAAACAAATGACTTGATCATTAACACTTGCCGTTGGCACTGATATAGTTTCGGAACTCTTACTTTCAAATGTTACTGACATGAAACTGACAATCTGTTATGTACATACCACGTCTCTTGATCAATGCATAGTGGTTGTGTGTGAAAAAATATGAAAACGTTTGCACTGTAAGGAATGTTCTAGAAAAACTTAACTTTTACTGGCTTACCATCGAGAATGTTACATGCACAGTTGATAGTTTTTTCTTGAAATTTAACAAAGACGAGCTTTGACTAAAATGTTATGTTATGATAATGTCTTGGCAGAAAATCTGCAGAGCACTCAAAACTTTGTTTCCTTTTATTTTGGATCTCTTTCAGCTCGCCTCTTGCAGGCATCTTGAAGTACGCACTTCAAGATGCTCTTGGTCTGAACCAGCGGCAGACATTCTTCCGTCTGTGTGATGCTGTCAGTCAGCTAACAGACCACTGCATTGACATTCAAGAACTTCATGCAGTAGAGGCCGAGGTCCATGAGGTTTTGAGTCTTGTGGAAAGAGACTTTCCTCTTGGGATACAAGTTTGTTGATGTACTTATCTTCAATGCAGAAACAAAAATTGCGGAAACAAAAATTATAGATAAAATATAAACATGAAAGATGACATGAAGAATATGTACAGTCTTATGTGATAATTTGGATTTGTATCAAGTATCTATGGCTGAGATTAAAGGGAATGTACATCATTGGCTTTTGCTGTAATTTTTAGAAATGAACTATTTGGGGGGTTAGTATAATAGATCAAATTTTGTTACACTGACATGTTCGAAGTTTTTTGTTCGAAAATGCTTGAAAAACCAAGAAACACAAAAATTTTCAAGTAGTCTGGTTCCCTGACTCCACCAAAGATAAAATGGATCAATTTCCAGAAAATTGTACGGTAAGGGAACAAGTCTAGCTGGCCTACACCCATTCATGAATATGTCACCAATAGCAAACAAAATTTGAACTGAATAAACAATGGTAAATTTGGAGCAGTAGTTGCAACATAGTTAGGTTTTTCCAACGGTGGTCGGCCGACCACCGCTGGAAATGTATACAAAAATACCATTTTCTTGAAAATGACTTCACACCAGGTGCCATAATTTTACAGGATGCTTTAGACTGTCATTTACCAACGTCCTAGTAAGGTATTCTGTAAAAACTTGGTAGTTTTATTTTTCAATGTTTGCAAATGTTGTATATTCCCTTTAAACAATTTGTTTATTTCAACGTTTTCAATTGAAACAAGAAATTTATTAAGTCTACATACAACAAACAGTTGTGTCTGATTTTACTGGGGTTTTTTTTTAAGGAGGAAGTAATCTGTATCATCTGGTATTGTTGGTTCTTACTGAGCTTAAAACACAAATTTACTTGTGGTAGTGTAGATCAATGGTTTTGAACAAAACATGTTCAGTGTGATGTCTTGTGACACAAGATGACATCCATGCCTATTGGTACAAGACTCATAGTACTGTAAAATTTGAATGTAACTCTTGTCTGCCATGTAGCAATTGCCAATGGCAGTGTGAGGAAATGGTGATACAATTAATGTTATTAAATTATGTTATCTTGACCCTCCCCCCTTCTTTGTGACAGACGCTCTGCATGCACATCCTCCATCATGTCTGTATCACACTGAGGAAATATGGACCAGCTACCTCCCAATGGATGGTTTTGAGAGGTTTATGGCCTTTCAGAGTGGGCGAATTCTAAACCGCAAGCAGCCAGAGGCAACAGCCATTGAGGCATATAGGGTAACAGTAACATGTATTAAAGTCATACCTCCTGTAGGTGGTTTTTTTTAGGGGGGGGGAATAAAAATTGTAGTATTAAAGCAGAATAAGCCTATAGAGATGTGATGATGACGTTACACAACTTTTTTACACGTGGTTTTCATTGGAACCCATTGCAAAAACACAGGAGTAAAACAGTTTGACAATGCAAAAGGCCTTATATGCCTATATGCATTTGTGTGCACTTTAATTTTTTCATGGGCTACGCATTTTAATGTGCACTTCAGAGATGAATGGTTCTAGCAAGTAGTATTTTTAAATTTGGGGGTGTGTTTTTGTTTTTTTTTGGGGGGGGGGCGATTTTTGAAGACTTTAGGAAGATCTTTGTTTTTACTTCATATTTTTTTTTCCTTTCTTTTCTGTTTAACTTTGCATTAAGGCAATGCAGATCTCAGGGTTTTTTCAATCAAATTCTAACGGTATTTGTACACAGTTTCATTAATGTACAAATGAAACTTGGCAAAAACAAAAAACATGATGGTAAGCACTGAGTATTTATGGCATGATGTGGTTATGTCATTTTTAAAAGGTTTCCTGTCATATCTGGCAAACAAAACATTTCAAATTCACCTAGCAGTTCTTGCAGATACTGTGCCCAAGATCCTTTAATGCAAAGTACGAAGAGACATCAATCATTAGCATTATACTTTGTGTATTTTTAAAAACATTTATCAAAGAGTCTCTTTCCCCAAAATGGACTATCTTAAAATCAGTGCTTTGGAAACATTCCATTTGTGCAGGCCAACTCATGAATGTCCCTTATGGTATCATGATCACATTATCGTGCGATTGATTGGAAATTTGTAGAACTAATTATTTCATAGATCTTTTGTAAACTTTGAAGAGCATTTTGGGGTTTCTTTATACGAGAAGACAGGAAATTGCAATGTTCTGTGCACATAAAATTATCCTTTATTCCAAACTACAGTCGACTCTCGTTAGTACAAATTCTGTTTATACAAAATTCTGGTTACATGTATAACAAACTTAAAGCCTTGGTCCCGACTGTGTATTTATGTGCACAATGAATGAAACTGATGTTCCTCTTAATACAAAATTCTGAAATAACAAACAATTTGGCTAGGTCTGAACGAGTTTGTTATAATGAGAATCGATTGTATTTGCTTTAAGTACAGATCATTTTTTGTAAGGTCTGCAACTTTTTTGTTTTGTTCACATCAGATGTATGAATTCAGCCAGTTCATGGCTATGGCCGGTCTTCTGCCTAAAGGAAGTGTTTGCACCAGTAATCCATACACCGCACTGGCTGCAAATGAGGAGACTACCGAACAAGCTTCACGTGAGTACTTTTATAATTAATAATCAAAGCTGTGCTTGCTTAGCTTCTTTAACATTTCAAATGGAACTACGTTTGTATTAAATCGTTGAATTTCAACATCCATGGTTGCTAGGCACTTGTTGATCAGAAAACAGACGCTTGGCAAACATTTGCTCAGGCCTTATGTTTAATTGCTACTCTATTACTGGACTTGTTACATTTCCTTACATTTCCTTCGCTGAAAGGATTTGGGGGTAAGTATTTAGAGCAAATATCGATAAGCACACTTTTTGGCAGTCCGTGTTCTTAGATACTGGCAAATTGAGGAAAAAAATGCATGTTCTTGAAGTGTGGTTTCCTGACTGCCTTACAATGGAACAGTAATTCATGGATGTTGGGAATTATGAGGTCAGGCAACCTACATACATGTGTATGTAGAGGGCCTGTATCTGTGTCCTGTTCACAGCTGTGTGTAGTCAATTTCAAACAAATGCGGACTAACTTAATATGGTAAATTGGAAGTAGTAGTTTTAGAAAAAAACTAGTTTTTCCAACGTTGGCCAGCTGCCCAGCTTGGAAATTGATACCAAAAGACAACTTGTCTTGAAAATGTCAACATTCCTGGTGTTGCGACTTTATGTTATGCTATACACTGCATGCACTTTCGTTCATAAAAGTACCATAATAATTTGATAGTCTCCCTTTAATAATAATGCATGTACAATGTATAAAAATATTCATTCGTTTGAACTGATGGTTTGTAATTTCTAGCAAAATAATACATTTATTATATTTAAATTCGAATTCTTAAACAGAAGAAAGCTTCAACTTGCTCGAAGGGAAGCGACCATCTCTACAAGTAGAAATGGGGGAAGACGAACAAGTTTCCTTGCAGTCACAGGGCATGACCTGCACGTCCGCCATCAAGTATTTCCACGCAATGAGGGAACATCCAAGATGTCAGAAGTACACCTGTCGTGATATTGACTTGGACAAGCCCATTGTATCTTCTGTAGTTGCAGGTCTTTTCACGACAGGTGGAACTCTCTCAAACAAATTGGAGCAGGGGTATCTCTTCTTTGGAAGGATTTCCTACTTTCTTCAGTGCAAGGGAATTGATGGCAAAATGGAGGATTATGCCAGGGTGGAATGGTATGAGGCCCCGATTCCAGCTGAAGTAAAGGGCCTCTGGAAGAGGTGCAGCCAGCTGTGGTAATTCAAACTGCACTAGTTCCCCTTCAGAAGTTATCACCTCCTTTAATTACTGCTGTGGAGTCAACGGGCACCGTCTGGGTATTAGACTTTAACGTTAAATACATTAACAAGACACAGTAATCATCTTGGAAATGTATTGAATGATTTCTTCATTGATTGAGAGGTTTCCTACTGTTTTGGTGCTCTGATAGGTCACACCTTGATTTTTTTGTTGTTGTACAGGCAACCTTCACCTATAGTGTAATTGAAAGGTAAAAGTCACGTTGAATCACTACAAACCCAAACATTTCATTTGGAATGGTTCATGAGATAAATGGTAAACCGAGCATAAACAAAAACATGGATCTCGAAATGTACATATCAAGCAATTAAATTATAAGTGCTTTTAGGTCAAAACATGACATTTTGAGCTACCTTGCAAACTAATTGAGAGACCATGTTCATATTTAGGTCTGGCAGACCCTGCCATGGGCAACATATTTGATTCGTGGGCATAAAGTTGCTTGACCTATACTCCCTGGGTTTTTGGAAGTACAAGATAATGAATGTACATGTAACTTGAAAAAGGAAGCATTGTCATAGAACTAAGCAAATTATTGAAATGTTTAATAAGATAAGCCACATGCAACAAAATGCATTATGACATCACATCATGGGGCACCCTCTAGCAGCATGCGAAACAAAGTTACATTTTTTAAATTTAAAACCCATGTTTTTTTTTTATTTCACCAACTTGACCACAAACACTCTTTGGACAGTAGCTAATGATTTTGTGTTGTTTCAAAATGTGGATGTAATCACACCAGAAGTAATTTTAGGCTGCATGTAATGATGGTTACTTAAATGGTTCACCCCTTTAAAAATGTGGTCGGGATCCCGACATATCCCACCGGGATTCCCGACACATCCCACCGGGATACATTGGGATAAGTCGGGATGGATGTATCCCGACGGGATACATCGGGATAGCTTATGTCGGGATCCCGACCCAAGGTGGGATGAGTTGGGATCCCGATGGAATTTTGGTCAGAAACCCGACCGAAGGCGGGATAAGGTGGGATCCCGATCAGCTCATCCCGGCATACGTTGGGATAAGTCGGATGGATGTATCCCGACGGGATACATCAGGATAGCTTATGTCGGGATCCCGACCCAAGGTGGGATGGGTCGGGATCCCGATGGAATTTTAGTCAGAATCCTGACCGAAGGCGGGATGAGTTGGGATAAGGTGGGACGCAGTCAGGGCTCGAATTTGGGGGGGGGGGGGGGAATCCACAAGACCGCAGGGCTTGTTGCTCAGAACTTTTACTGGACCGGAACATTTTTTAATACAAGACCGAAGTCATCTGAGAAGAAAAAAAATCAACACACTACAAAAAACGCACCAAAGTTTGTTCATACTTCTGCGCCTGTGCAAGTTTTTCACTCGCAGATGGGTCATTCCACCAGGTTGGGTCATTTGAGTAATTTGCACATATGAATGTGTTCAAAGTTAATTTTTGCTTATGTAGTGTGGCACTAATGTTTTCATTTGTAAAATATATTTGAATTGAAAAGTCAATAATAAACTCCCAGCAATTATTCAAAAAAATTCTTTGTGAATGTTGATGATTTGTACCATTTTTCTGTGGTGTCCTCAGTACTTTTACCCACCCCCAGCGTTATATTGTATAAACGATTTGAATATACCTTTAAAAACAGATATAATTTTCTCATTTTGATGAACATGCTACCAGTGCTTATTCAACTAGAGTGAAGCTTTCCCACAAAATTATTTATTTTGTGCAGAACCATTGCATTGGTAAAACACAAGAAGTTAAATTTGTACGTACCGACGTAACGCGTGGTGTCTTCTTCCTATGCCGCTCGTGTTGCATGGGTAGTTTGCTTTTATTTACTAACATTCCGATAATGTTACTAGTTTTCATTTTTAAAAACAAGTGATAAAAGCCATGAAATATGCAGCGAGTTTACGAAGATACTTGATTTAAAAAGTTCAACGCAAGTCCGGTGTCCTGCGTGATTTGCGTTGCGTGGGTCAGATGTGACCGCCTATTTTTTCCTGTCCCCCGCTTTGGAAAATGGTTCTGGGCCAAAATGTATACCCTTTCCATATGACGTTGAGTAGGTCACATGGATACTATTACGGTTTCGCCAAATTGCAACGCCGACGTGTTGCGGAAATTTTTTGGCCGCTTTTGGATTGTGGATTGGTGAGTAAATAACTGGTTTCTAGCAGAAAATATCAGCGTATCATATTGTTCTGTTTGAGTTTCATCTAAGTTTTACAGTAATTACTACTCCAAGGAACTAGTAGGACTCTAAAAATCATCTTTTCTTTACATTTCATGTGGCCTTTTTCGGGCCACAGTAACGTCAGTGTTCGACTGTAAATTAATTCATCAGACAACCTTTGCCGTGAAAATCGCCAGATTTTACCCCTAAAACAAACCCCACATTGCCCAACATGACCCCTTAGGGATCCAGTTCACATCGAGAATTAATGATGGTGCTGAGGTTAAGTTATATTTCGGAGATAAAAGTAATATTTGCCGTTCTTTTTCGAGAGCTTTTCTTGAGTTTGTGGATGTCTGTTTACTAGTTTGGGAAGGCAATGCGGTGATGTCGTCCCCAGTGCACGCTGGTGTGAACGTACATGTACAGACATGTATGTAATTTGATCGTTTCGACATCGAGTACGAGTGGAGAGCGGCGACTCGGTGTCACGTGATGTATGCACGTACACTGGTTCCTTAATGATGGGTTTAGTTTCCCCGTGTACAGGCTGGAACCGGTTAACACATATAATTATAGGCAGGTTCTTGTTTAGTGCAGTTCGAACGATAGTGGAGAGTCAGGATCTAAGACACATATAAACATCACGGACGCACATTGACCGCACTGCATTCGTTCACACCAGCACGCACTGGGGACGAAAACGACATCACCGACGCGAGCAATGAAAGATTTTACTTGAATACCCCCACTATATTTTCCTTATTACAGCTAATCAACCACCAAAAAGTGAAATTCTGATGAGAAATTCCCCCCCCCCCCCCCACAGAAGTGTGGTTGGGGTCTACGAACGAATACTTACCTGTAGAGCAACACTACTTATGCATATTCCCCCTACCGGCAGGTATTTTCGCTAAGAGTTATATACAATAGCGCCCTCCAGCGCCCTACCCATAACACCCCGCGGCATGCGTGCCTCGTGAGCGTCCTCTTTTCTCGAGCGCTAAGTCGGAATACAACAAAGTACCCAAGGCATCGAGAAGAGTGGGGTAGGAGGGAGGGATGCTCTACAGGTAAGTATTCGTTCGTAGACCCCAACCACACTTCTGTGGGGGGGGGGGGGGGAGTCTACTTCACTCTACTTACCTGTAGAGCAACACTACTTATGCATAGACTAGCACCGTCAAGGAGGTGGGCCATGCGAGATGCTATTGCTTACTCACAGGGGTATGAAACATGGAATGTAACCCCAGATGGCTCCCACTGTTCCGTCCAAAGGCGGACAGGGGAAAAAACCAAGAACTGTACATGTAAAGGATATTAATTACCCTCACATGTTAATCGAGACGTCAGCCCTCGTTAGGGGGAACGTCTCATAATGTAAAGTATTATATAATAATAAATATAATATATAATACAGTTGAATCCTGCAAAGAAGAGTACTGTTAGTACAAGACACTTCTTAAAGCAAGTTCTAAAACACTTCAAACCAAGCCCATGCACAAGGTAAACTGTATACAAAGAAGGTAACTTGTCCAAGACCAATGACCTTATTACAATAGTGTTTAGCTATACATTTATACTCAATACAATGTAATGTATAATGTAAATAGCCAGGATGAGGAGACTCACCTATTCTAGGGAAGTCCCGGGTAGGAGAGGATCCTGTGGACCTGATGATGCTCGGCTCGCCGCCTTCAGCACCACTCTCCCGGCTCTGCCTTCCGTCTGGAGGACATCCTTCAAATAACACTCTGTAAAGGTGTTGGGGGTTTTCCAACACGCTGCCTGTGTGATATCTTTAATAGAAACACCCTTAAAAAAGGCCCAGGAAGTAGAAGCTGCCCTGACCTCATGTGCATGGACTGACCCAACGGAATCTGTTGTTGGTGAGTCTATTGTTGATTTGATGGCCGTAACCAACCAGCGGGAAATTGTATCACGCGAGGCCGGCCGGTATGGTGGAGTCGTTGTTATAAACAGCTGTGAATGGCCGCTTCGGAGCGTTTTAGTTCTATCAACGTACCACTTCAGGGCCCTGACCGGACACCAAAGTCTGTCACCAGAGACAGACGAAAAGGATTTGATGTCCGGCACAAAAATGTCAGGAGGTGAAAATGATTCTGACTGATTTTTGGTCAGAAAACCTGTTTTAGGAACCAGGCGAACACCCCCTGGTTCCCACCGGATGTGACCTGTCTCCACTGTAAGCGAATGCAGCTCGCTACGTCGTCTAGACGTAGCCACTGCTAATAGAAATGACACTTTAACCGACAGCTGCAACAAGGTTGAGCTGCCCATTGGTTCAAACGGGGGTCTCGATAAGGTTGATAAGACAGCAAAGAGATCCCACGATGGTAATAGTCTACGTGTCGGGGGGCGTGACACAAACATCCCCTTGATAAGTTGGCTAAGATTCTGATTATCTGACACCGAGGAACCGTCAGAGAAACCTCCATGAATAGCCGCTATAGCCGAACGATAATTCTTAACTGTGGCTGTAGCAAGATCACTGTCAAAGAGGCCTACTAGGAAGTCTGCAATCTCTCCTATAGAAGTATCGGGGGGATGCAGAGACCTGGCTTTACACCATTTGTAAAAATGGTGTAATCTACTGTTATAAATTTTCCTGGTAGACTCCCGCCGGCTGCAGGCTGCAATGGCCGCAGCTCGTTCAGAAAGGCCCAACGTGCGGAAGGATTGCTTGATAATACCCAGCACGTCAGGTGGAGATCCTCCGGGGCCGGGTGAAGAAAACCCGAGCTG